TTGGATGATTGTGAGCAATTTCTGTAGCCTTTGAGCCAATCGCTGGAGGGGGGGAATCAGAGAACATGTTCGCAGTGAGACCTGCCAACCTTCAGAGGAGGAGCTCCAAGAAGCAAAAGCCTCTCGATCTGAGGAACCACAACCAGCTGTATCAACACCAGCTCACTGCTCACAAGCCTCATCAGAGCCATGTTTGTTTTACCGGACTTTCAGTATTACGTTTTAATTGTTGATAAAGATAACGTTTGTCCAGAAACCAACAATTAAAGAACAAATTAAAGAGATGCAACAACAGTTGGAAAACACACATCATTAAGGCTCAGCAGCCTCCAGGAGAACACAAAAACCTCAACTTTTCTCATGATCTTGAGACAATTCTTATAAAAATCAAGGGAGAGAAAACATTGGGAGATGTGTTTTTATCATCCAGTAAAACCCAGCTGCCACTAGATTTCCCAAGATGCAACAGTTGTGCCTTGCATACCTGTTTTCACTCCAAACCGTATGTAGTACGCTGGTCATACGTTACACTGAAACAAACCTTTAGAGTTTAACCAACAAAATTTAGATTCAAGCTGTTTAAGGTCTTTTTTTTTGATAATTGTTTCTTTAATTTAACAGATGAAACTTAAACATCTTTCATTTATGAAACATATTTTTTTCTAGAGATACTTAAATGGTTAACATTTAACAGTCTTCAGAATAACTTTTTACAGTGTAAACAGTCACAAACTGTTGTTTCTTTTTTGAAAAATAAATAAATAAATAAATAAAACTGTTTACTTGTTGATTAAAAGCTGCTTTTTGTATGTTTGATTCTTTTCATAGCTCGATTTTAGTGGCGGAGCTCAAAAACAGCTCGAGGACCAGAGCTGTTAATTGGAACAAAATCAGAAAATAAGAAAAAAAAACAGGCCTATTTTTATGAAAATGTTGCCTATCCTGTCCCCAGGCTGTTCTGTCATCTTCCCTCATGGACGAAGGAACAGGATCACAGGACAGATGGGTAAAAAGGTGCCAATCAGGCACCAGGAGACCATCGGGAGGAACTGTAATTACAGAGCCTTTGAACAAAAAGTCACTTTAACTTGAACCTGTGAAAAAGTAAACGATGAGATGTCTGCCAAACAGGCCAGGAAGTTTCACATCTGTCTGTGTTCAAGGCAATGGAACCATGATGCATCTGCAGTTTAATTTCCTCCTCTTCCAACAATCTCCGACTTTTATATTTTCCAAAACTGCCAGACTTCTTTTTTCTTTTTTAACATCTGGAAGTCATCCCTCCACCCGATCCTCCAAACGCTGACTGCTTCACTTTTATAAGTGGTTCTCATGGCGCAGGCCTTGCAGGCACAAGCTGTATTAAAAACCCATCAGCTCCACTGCTGTGCCACCACACCATTACCGTCTCACAGCCAGACACTTTCCATCGACAACTGATAATCCCTCCACCGGCCGAAGACCGATCTGCTGAACCCGGCCCTCTTTAACGCTGCGAGAAAAGAGGCGTGTAATCAAGTCATAGCTCAGAAATGCAGCATGTGTTCCCAATCAGATCCGTCTGTGTTGAGTTCACATGTTTGGACGCTACGGCTTTGGTAGAAAACAGCCCATTTGTTGCGATGTCAGTGATGTGGCAACAGCAACTGGAAGCAATTTGGGGGACAGGGTGACCTCATGTTGGTTTGCTCATTTGGAATTCCTGTTTTTTAGCTCTCTGAGAGGGTATAAAGTTTGAAGTTTTGGTGACCTGGTAATGTGAGAAATGCAACTCCACACAGCCAGCATTTTACAGCTGGGTCCGTGTGAGTGAGCGTTCACAAGCACACACACAAATAAAGACACAATTTCTGTGGGCACACAATAAGACTGTTTTATGTTACTGCATTTAAAAACAAACCTTATTCACTTTTTTCTTCCCTTTCTACTTCCAAACCTCAACTCTTCTTCCAAATATTACTCAAACGCTTCCATCTCAAACACAGATTGCAGTTCTTGCTTGAAAAGTTTTTTCCACTTGAATCCACGTTCATCTTTAATATAAAAGCCTTGAATCCATCAAGTAATGTGTATCACCCCCAGAGTTCTGAAAAATGACATGTTGAGAAATTATTGACTTACAGCCATTTTGATTTAATTTAGACCAAAATGGCACCAAATTTCAGCTCTGTTCCTTAAATCCATTATGTTATTGTCAGTTAGTGGTGGTCATCTTGAATTGGGCTGACTTTAAGAGTTATTTAATTGTAGATGATACTAAATCTATAATTCACCTGTATGTAAATGAAGTCATTTTATTCAAGAGTTTTGCTTTTCGGTGTCATGAATAGTCTGATTGATGGTTTTATTTATTCAAGAAAAATACCCATGGATGTGCACATTCAGAGCACTGTCCTAAATCAAAAGTTCAACATTTAAAAGAGTGATTTTATTGATTGGATTCAAGTTTATTGAGAGGGCCATTTCCTATAATAGAGAAATACTGATACCACAATGATCCAAACTAGGGATTAACCAATGATTGGTTGTATTTTATTACATTTCGATCAGTTGGTTGGCAAAGATGCAGCTTAGGGATTAAATCTGCATGTATCGGTTTGTTACTTATATGAAGTATTTTTCAGGCTTTGGCTGTAAAACAGTGTCAGTAAAGGTAAAAAGAGAAGATATGTTTGTGACTGGATCTTCTGTAAGACACGTTTAAAGCATGCAACTCTTTCTCTGCTGCTATTTTAGCAGCTTGTAGCGCCTGCTTTTCAAAAATCTTAACAATTAGTTATTAACAAGTGATAAACATCCTCTAGGTTGCAGGTTTTGTTTCTGTGCTTTTCTGTTAAACACAAACGTTTTTAACACTAAGCTATTGCTTTCAAATTGGTTTTGGTGGTTCTTGAGCCAGAAACTTTACCAAATTCACATTGGACAGCATTCTGTCACCCTCTGCTGACCAGAAACTGCATTTAACAGTTTTTTTGTATGAGCAGGAATACTTGAGGGAGGTCTCTACCTGCTTTACAGTAATAGCTGTTTACTGGGCCGGTAGCTAATTGAAAAGCTAGCAGTTAAAATTTTCAGTTTGCCAACTGTCGATAACTAGCACGAGAAAAATTATTTTGCTTTTTAGTTGTCATTATTGCTGCGCCTGAAAGTAAAAATAAGACAGTAGTGTCTCTGAAGGTAAAGCAAAGAGCTAAAACTAGAGCAAACATCTGCACGGCCTACAGTAGTTTGAGAGACCTAAAGAAGGCTACAAACATCACATACTGATTGTGACCTGGCTTTGTTGTCACTGAACTTGAAACATTTTTTGTCCAACACTGAGGATCTTTTAACTTTGAGTCTTATTTAGTATCAGCTGGCTCCTGCTACCGTTAGCATGTTGTTAGCAATAGCTACAGCAAGCTGTATTGCTTTAATTGTAAGTCGGATTTTAGAAGTTTAGACCCTTTCCTGATGTTTAGCTCTCATGTTTGTGTGCAGCCAAATAGCAAGATAAAACTTTTAATAATTAATTGAAATAAAATTTGTTGAATTAATAGAGTAGATGGGTTTTAACGCGTCGATTTGGCTGCAGACCACAGAAGCACACATCTGGTCTGAATCCAGGGATTATGGTCTGGGAGCACACATTTGTTTGAACTGTTCAGAAGACAAAAAATGTCCTTTAAATGTCTCTTAAAGTGGGAGCAAAACCACTTAGAGCATCTTTGAGGCCTCATAACTTATTAAACCTGATTGCAAAAGCTATAAAATCAGAAAGAGAATGCCTGAATTAAAAGGTAAACCATAATATTTATATAATTGCCTTAAATTATATTAAAATCACTTTTGCTCCAAAAAATAAATAAATAAAAAATAAAAAAACATTCCAAGGCAAAATGTCTGATGTTTTTTTCTTGGTTCAAGAAAGTTGAATCTTCAGATTCCTTAACAGACATACATGAACGTTCATTGTCCCAAAGTGCTGCTGAACCACATTTTCCTTTAGTCTACAAACCCCCTGAACTTTCCACTGGTTTTTATGATCCAAACAGTCATCCTATCCAACAGCGTTCCATGGAAGGAATCCTGAAAAGTGTTTTTGAAGAAAAAATAAGGTCAGACTGAATAAAATAAAAAAAGTATATATATTTTTTTTTTATGTGATTTTTGTTTGTGTAATCAAGTAAAAACCATTATTAGTGTATTATTATCTCTTTATGGGACCACAAGGTGGCGTTCTAACTAGTCCCAGAGTTTCACATATTCTCCAAACATTGTGAAAATGAATCTAAAGAGAGAAATTGATATTTTGAAAGAAAAACTTTTTTTTCCATAAGTAGAGGAGACCTCAGGAGCCCAGAGAGGCTTGTGACATCATCAACTGAAACAACATCCTGTGACGACACCAGACACCAAACATTCTCCTGATTAAAAAAAGGTAGAAGCAGATCAAGTAAAACAAGATGACTCAGGTGTTTCCATCCTGAATCCTGCAGCATCTCGGCCTCTCATGTCCCCTCACATCTGCCCTGAATTAACATTTTCCCTCAGAGGCTGGTGAGCTGTGCTGCTGGAATTCTTTACACAGATGTAGCTGGAAATAAATGCTTCTCTTGATTCCCAATGACTGCTCCAAGGTGTTGAGACAGTAACGCTAAAACCACAAAAAGGTGCACGTTTTCATTCCCTCGGGGTGACGTCATTCTCACTCTGACAGATGTCTGCGAGCCTGTTGCCCAACATGTTCACCAGTTACAGATATTCCAGGGAAAAGTAGTCTTTCCTCTAGCCTCTCTTAGATAAACAGACAAATGTGACCGTGTAAGGATCGGTGTGATCATCCTCAGCAGAGATGCTGAGTTTGAACAAGCGAATGAAGCAGTGATGAGAGGGAAACCCTTCAGCATGAGGCATCAAAATGAGCCTTGTCTGTGTTACATGGTTTTAAACTTAATGACAAGCAGCTCAACTCTGGAGTTTCAAATCAAACAAAAGAGTAAAGTTCAAAAATCACTCACCACTGCTCCCGTCCTGACATGTCACAATCACAAGCCGAGAGACCACCAGAAAGATAAAAGTCCTCAAATGCATGGAAATCATCATGTCTAAGACATGGGCCTTTCTTTTGTGCAAAGTTAAAGAAGGAGGGGGAAAGGGATGGAAGAAAAGGTGCCCAGGTTATCACAGCAGCACCATGAACACAGGAGCGCCTCTCCTTGTAAGCAGCGAGCAGACCCAGCCCAGAATGCGTGAGTGGGATTTTTTTCCTCCTTTTTTTGTGTAGTTACAGCTTTAAATGAGAAGAATGCTGGCAAGCCTAATTTTCCTCCCCCTTTTGTCCCACAGCCACCCCCTTACAGAGAACTACACCCATGTTCACCAGATCGCTTGCTCTCTCTCTCTCTCTCTCCACGTCTCTAAACCCTAACTAAAGATGTCAGGAAAAAATGAATTTGATTGAAGTTTCTTTTTCTTGTCTAGTCCTTGTCTTCATAAATGGCTGTTAAGAAGGATCATAAAAGTGCAGTTTTACTGCAGTTTCTCACTCTAAAGGACACACAACCAGCTGAGAAGCTCATCCCAGTTTTACTACATCAATCAAAGCAAAAATAGAGTTTATAACTATTGTTTTCTAAGCAGAAACCAGAGATGAACAACAGCTTTCAGTGGATGAAGGTGTGAATAGAAATAGGTTTCATATGAAACTGTCAGTGTGGGTGGGTACCATTGAGGGTGATCAACAAGTCTGAGTAAATTTCACCTTTGATGGTCAGATTTCACATTTGGGCTTGATAATTATTATGGAGAATTATTGCATTCAAACCTCCTAACTGGAGAAAATGTTTATCAAATGCGGGGTTCCTCAGGGAGCCATTCTCGGCTCAGTGTTTTTCTTTTTCTTTTTGTGCTCTTGTTGTGTTATTCTGTGATTGTACAGATATAAATAATGTGGCCACACAGAGCTCCCCGGGCTGTGCACGCACAGCACATCAATCCCCGAGTCGGTACCTCACAAGGCTTCAACTGTAGGCAACAAAATACATATAAAGTTCAAGAAAAAAATTCCAAGTTAGCCACATGTTTGCATGTTGCATGAAAATGTTTTCTGGGGTCTCTAACAAGTCTCAAACTCTTCTCAAATTAGTTTATTGAAATGTGAGACGACTAAGTGGGGCTGGAGACAATATTATGACTAAGAAGATCCTGCACCCTCATACAAATCCAGCATTATACAATTATCTCAGATATGAATGATACTGCAGCTTGGTAGGGTTTTAGCCCACGCATGACATCCACATGATGTGCAACAAATTCATGACTATTAAGTCATGTTGGTTTGTATGAATACCAAATGTCCCTTTAAGGCTTCATTTTACTATGCACATCTATTCCTGAGCTGTAAACCGAGAAGCAGCCAAATTCACTGCAGGTGAAGAGTTTCTCACCACCAGACCAGGATGTGTGTTGGTAATGAGAAGGAGGATCTTCAGGAGTTCAATGGGAAAGACAGCTGTTTTCTTACGGACACTCCCCTTAAAGCAAATCACTGCAAGTCCTTCCAGAACAGTGAAACATCCAAGAAGCATCAGAGCTGATTTATTTGTAAGAAGAAACATGAAGGAAGTGAGATCTGAACGTTTCTTGCCAAATGCGTTGTCCTTCCAGAGTGAGTTTCCAAAGAGAGAATGGATAGATGATGTGAATGAACTTGTGTAACATGTGGTTTCTCTCTAGATGGTTTGCATACAAGCTTGGCTGGTATTTGATTAGTTAGGAGAATAATAGCATAAATCTGTGTTACTAAATGTGCCTTCATGCTTCCAAATTAAACCCATAAAACTGGCACTTTGTTTTAAACCTAAAAGTGGAAATACTGTTTTGATTTTAAAGTGTATGTGAATTTTTGACCAAAGTCTAACTTATTTATTGACAAAAATGGACATGAATAGGTGGGGTAGGAGTTCCTGGAAAAAGCTGTTCTAACAAGCTACACTTAAAAAAAAAACACAATTCATAGGCCCAACCTCCTTTAATCATACTCCCCTTCTAAGCCACGCCTCCAGGATACAGGAGAATGATGGACACAACAGACGCTGTCAAACAACCATTGATGCATACTATTACCTTTTATATGTAATCTTACCTTTTTGACTCATTTGTTAGCACCTGTTCTATCATATTTACTGACATAATGCACCTATGTAACAGCCATGGAGCCTCAAAGGTTCTGATGGACTCCTCATAGTCAGGTGCCGATCAGGAGTTCTCCAGATTTTGTTACCACTGAAAGTTTAAGAGAGAAGCCACTGGGACCTAAGGCGTGTTTCCATTGTCGGAACTTCAGCATCAATTTTGGGAGGGGAAAATTGACTGGGAGATTCGATGGCTCTGTCCTCTCAACTGTTGTATCTCCATTTAAACTCAGAGCGTTGTTTTCCGACTGTCGTTCTAAAACTGAGATTTCACAGAATTCTGACCTTTACCCTTTTGCTATTTAACATTCCCCTCACCTCCAAATCCTAACATTAACCCTCTTGCGCTTTCAAAACTTATCTCCTAATCGTAACGTCCCTCTCCAACACGGTTAACGGGGAGTTTAGAACAAGCAGAGTTAAGGTTAGGATGGGGGTGAGGGGAAGGTTAAATAGCAAGAGGTTAGAGGTTAAATGCAGATGAAATGTTCATTTTAACAGTGCATCACCTCCCGATGTGTTGGGACTCCCAACACGTAGGAAACAAACGCTTGGTCACCCAGCGTCATTTTCCGACGCTTCGGGTGTGAGTGAGCGCAGCTTTAGACCCGCTACGGACGTTCTGTGTTTTGATATGCCGTTAATGTGGACAGTTGCCCCCCAGTGGGATTTTCTGTAGGAATAATTTCGACAGAGATAGCTTCCAAGTTTTATACTTTTTGCTCCTACTACTTCATATTTGGATTAGGTTTTAAAAAACTGAACTCTGTCTTTTACAATCCTCGTAAAAAATGGTATTACCATCCAGTAAGTTTACAGATTTTCAGACTAAATCTCCTTCGATCTTTGCTCCCAGGGTTGTACTTCTTTGTTGAAAGTCTTCCTGCTGCAGAAGGAACTAGTTAACAAAAGCTCTGCTCTTGTACAGCTGGCATCATCAATCATTTCACTCCTCCCACTATTTAAAGTTTTTTTTCTTTTTACTGAACTGAGGACTGTGTTCAGAGTGAAATGGTGTCAAATGACAGTCAACTCAACATTTTCACTTTTTACTTTACTCCAGCACGTTCTCCTCCTCTAAAGTCAACAATTTGGCAAATTGTTGGAAACTTTGCTTTGCATCTGATGTGGATTTTAATTTAAACACCTTAAACAATTAAAAGTTACACAAAGTCAGACCAATGTCAGTCTAAATCATCGGATTTTGCATTAAACAGCTTTGTAGCCTTTTCAAAAATCTGATGATACTGAGACATGTGGACAGGACAGGACACTCTTTGACAACTTTGTATTGAAACATGGAATGGAAATAATTAGCAAATGTCTAAGTCTCCAATGTAAGAGCTGCCAGAAAACAGCAATGAAGCATCTCTGCAGCCAGAGCTCACAGCTCAAAGCATCCCGACTCAAACATTCACTCAAACATCAAAACTCGCTTACTGACGACTTTAGAAACTCAAAGATCAGGTTTGAATTCACTAAAGTCTCGTGAATCAAATGGTCTAATGCTGCAGCAGATGTAAGACACGTGGAGTCTGTTCAGTTGTTTCATATCAAACAGTCTGAGACTGTATGATGCTAATAAAGAACAAAGACAGGAATAAAGACAGTTAACCCTTTAACTGGCAGGTTAACCAGTTGGTTGGGCTCCTTTTATTTTATTTGAGCATGCTTTAAACCCACAAAAATAAAAAACTAAACAAAAATATTTCCCCAAAATATTGAGATGGTTGAATAAAGTTCATTAATTTTTTAAGTACTGATGCATTAAAATAATTGTTATATTATAACCATTAAGAAATCAATTAATACAAATTATATAATAAATTGCTTTTTTTTGGTGTGGCAGTCAAAACATTTTGGTTTTTGATGAAAAATGTTATCGCCTATTCAAGAATGCAGGTTACACACATGATCGTTTCAGCTTTGCGGCATTTTTGGATCCCCAAAGCTCGGTGGCCTAGTGGTAGAGTGTCCGTCTTAAGACTGGGAGACCGGGGTTCAAATCTTTGGGAAAAATAAGACCCGATGCCTCCCTGCTTGACACAACATTACGGGGTTGGATTGTGGGGTTAAACCACCAAGTGATTCCCGAGCACAGCCACAGCTGCAGCTCACCGCTGCCCCAGGGCATGGGTCAAATGGGGAGAACAAATTTCACACACACATCAGTGAGTGTAACAACTAATGGGAATTTAATTAAAAATATTTTTTTAAAGGGTGAAAAACAAAATCATTGCCATTTGTGTCTAAATAAGTCAAAACGCAACCTTCTAAAGAGGATCATTTTATAGCCCCATCCATTCTTCAGCAATGTTCAAGTTTTATGCCCCGCCCCTTTTTTCATTTATATGTATTTTCATCACATGGGCGTGGCTAAATAATTTGGGGTGATTTTCCAGGTAATTGAAGACATTTGGGGCAGACACTGTCTACTAAAACGATTTTTAGAAATGAAAAACATTTTTTAGTTTTTTCAAACATCTTCTACGTTGATGTGGTCACGTTTGGGTTTAAATATTTCTGAAGTGAAATCATTTAAACAAACTGAAGCCGGAATTCCTGATGTGGATCAGATTCCGACCCCATTCAGCTCGGATTTCAGGTTTGCCGTAAACAAAGCTGCTTTACTCCTAAAGTTAACAGAAGTTACGTAGTTTGGGTGAAGCGATAGAGAAAAGCATCAGCTGTTCAGATGTTAATGCTTTTAAACTGGACCTTTTTTATTTAACAAAAACTTCCAGCTGAAAAAGATGATTGACCGACTGGAATTCTCACAGGCGTTGTTAGACAGCCGACTTCCTACAGTGGAAAAATCCCCCCCCCCCCCCGTGCTATCTCCTACTCCTACAATCCTCCCTCCCCTCTCTGACTGCCAAGTAGCTGATGACTTTCCCCTCTTTCCTAACATGCAGCTTCATGGTCTTGGCCTGTCTGCTTAACTCATCTCATCCCCCACCCCACCTCCTCCTAAGAGGCCAGCAGGATGGATACAATAACAGACAACCAGAAACAAGAAAATCTTTCCTTTACATGTTCAAGGTACAAAATGTTCGATTGCAAGCAGTAAAACAGATTTTATTACAAATTTCTCAAAATGGAAATCAGAAC